CTGGCGGGACAGCCCCTGCCCTCCAGCCAACACCATCTCCCTGCTGGGCCTTGGCCCCCCAGAGGGACTCCCCACATTTTGTCCCCTCATTAGCTGTATCTGTGATCAAGGATGCCCCAGGCGGAGATGGCCACCACCTTCCTCTCATGGGTTCAACCTCCATTGGTCTCCACCAGCTCCAGGCCCCTTCCTCACACCCAGCCCAGCCCAGGCCAGCAAGGACCTCCCTACTGTCCTAAACTGTCTGGCATTCCACACTCCACTGCGGGGCCCTGCCCAGGCCCTGCTCATCTGAGAGGAAAGTGATCTGGAATTCAAGCAGGGAGCCAGAAAGCATGAGCTGGGCGACCTGAGACCTCTGGGTGGGACTTGGACACAGAAAATGTCAAACCCAGCATCCCGTGGCGGCCAGTCTGGGAGAAAGGAGACAGCCAGTACTGGGTAACCACTGCGGAGTATACCAGGCCCAGGGCGGTAGACAAAGGGGCATCTCAAGTCAGCTGGGTGCTGGGGGAGTTCAGAGGGGCTTCCAGAGACAAGACCCCTGACCTAGGCATGGAAGGAGAAGGAAGCAAAACTTCAGAAGGTCTGGAGGTAGAAAGAACATCTACTGCTGCATTCGAGATCTATTACAATAATGACAATCATGACAGTTAAAATGCATGGAGTACTTCCTGTCTGCTGTGCTCTCAGATTCTAATCTTCCCAGCAACCCCACAAGGATGTCATTGTTGTTTAGTCACTAAGTCTTCCCTGGTGGCTCAGTGGTAAAGAATCTGCCTGCCAAGCAGGAGAGGCAGGTTTCATCTCTGGGTCAGGAAGATCTCTGGGAAAGGAAATGGCAACCCACTCCAGTATTCTTGCCTGGGAAATCCGATGGACAGAGGAGCCTGGTGGGCTACAGTCCATGCGGTTGCAAAAGACTTACCAACTAAACAGCAGGGATGTAGGAACTACCAATATTCCCATTTTACAGATGAGGAGACTGAGGCTCAGAGTGGCCAGCTGCCCAAAATAGTATGTGGGAGAACTTGAACCTAGGTCTCTCTGACTCCAGAGACAAGGCCCTACCACACCCTGCCTCCCCTGGATCCCATGCAGGTTTTCCCCACTGGTCTATGTTGGGGCGGGCAGGGTAGCATGCAGATCAGCAAGCTTTGAAGCCATGTCTGCACCAGTGAGTCAGAGCATGGTCAAACCCACTTGGCCTGGCCTTCCCTCTTTCCTTCATCCCTTCCTGACTCTCTAACTACAGAGCCCGTGGCCCTGGGTGACAGGGGTTGGATGGGATTGAGAGATCCTGGCCAGGTAAGTTCTCCTGCCTGAGCTGATCAACCCATCACAGCCATGTCCATAGACAGATCCACCTGCCCAGGGCTCACATTTTTTAATGATCACAAACACACTTTATCATTTTTATTATTTTAGTTTTAATTTTTTTTCAATTTTTTGGCCACAAGCAGCATGCAGGATCTTAGTGCCCCAGTCAAGGCTTGAACCCCTGCCCCCTGCAGTGGAAGCTCGGTGTCTGAACCACTGGGCTTCCAAGGAAGTCCCAGTAATTAGAAATCTCTTGAGGCCCTCATGGCCACACATCATACCCTACCTGTCCAAGGTAGACAGGCCGCTCTGGGCTCCCAATTCCCAGAGCCTGGCATGGATCAAGGCCGAAGGTTCAGAGGGCTCCTTCAGGCCAGGCTGGGGGCCCCACCTTCTGCGCCTCCCAGCAGCAATGCCTCCATCCACCCGGCTGTACAAGGCTGGAAGGATCTTCCCGCCTCCTGTTCGTCACCCCATAACCAATCCATCACCCCATAACCAATCGATCAGCAAGTGTCTGCGCTGTGTTGTGCTTATTTGCTCTGTCATGTCCAACTCTTGGAGACCCCATGAACTATAGCCAGCCAGGCTCCTCTCTCCATGGGATTCTCCAGGCAAGAATACTAGAGTGGGTTGCCATGCCCTCCTCCAGGGGATCGTCAACACCCCAACACAAAACACACCCGCAGTCTGCCCACTTCTCCCTGCTCCGCCACCTCCTCCCTGGGCCCAGCACCCCCGTCTCTCTCCCCTCCATGACTCCCAACCACACCCTCCTCAGCAACATCTGATGGGTGTCAGTGATGGGATCACAGACAGAAACCTCGTGTGCGAGTGTGTGAAAATAGAGCATTCTCTTGTTCTCTGATCATGGGAAAAGCAGTACATTTTCTATCAGCCTAGACAACAAAAACGACGGGAACCAAGCATTCAGTAAGGATTTAGTTGACAATGACCCTGTAATCATGTCACCTCTCTCCAGCTGATGTCCTGCACACCTCTCTGCCCAAGGTGGTTTGCTCAGGTCAAATTTGCTCACTCAAGATTTAAATGTCTTCCTCCCATTATCCAGGATGGGATGGGGAGTCTTTCTTGATCACTGCAATTATTTTGAAAATGCTGTCTCTTTATCCTCTGGATCCCTCTGGGGGATCTCAGCCCCCCCCGGGACCAGGTGCCCCATCCTTCCTCCCCTATCAGGTGAGAGCTTCTGGGAGGGGTAGCTGGACCCACAAGCAGCCCTGGTGGGTGATGACAGCCCCACCCCAAAGATTCCAGTCCTTCCACACTTACGGGAACAAAGCCTTGAGGGATGAGAGGAGAGGGGCAGCTAGTCTGGAGGGGAGACTTGGCAAGCCAGAGATTCCTAGGGGCTGGGTTAAGAGGCTGGGATGACTTCCTTGCACAGACACTGATAATAATAATAGAAGCCTGCCACGCACAGGTCTGGTCCTTTCCGGGTGCTGGGCCCGGTGCTAACACTCTCCATGCCCACATCTCCCCCTGAGGTGGGTAATTGTGTTATTTTCCTGTAGCCTGGGAAGCTGAGATGCAGAGAGGGTGGGCACACAGCTAGCAGAGTCCTGATTCAAATCCCAGAGCCTGGCCACTCACTGCTGTGCTCCAGACCTGGCACTCAGCGGTTGGGAGAACCCAGCACATAAGGATGGGGAGGGGGGCAGTGAGAGGGAAGTGGAGGGGCAGGCTGGGCCCAGAACCAAGTCAGGACTCGGTCCAAGAGCAACAGGGATTCACGTTTGGGCTTTAAACTGGAGAGGTTCATGGTCCTGTCTGGGTTTGGGTTTAAAGGCTGCTTGACTGTCCTGGTCAAGTGGATAAGAGAGAAAGAGACTGAGGCTGTGGGGGCAGGAAGGGGAGGGGAGAGAGAGAAGGAGTGAGAGAGACAAGGGGGAAGGAGGGAGAAATGAGCAGACCTCACGGATGCCACCACCATAGTCACGGGGGGACCCGGTGATCCGAGCTGGCAGGGGCTCTGGGTGTCTACGGCTCAGAGCCCACCTGCAGCTACTGCAGCACCCCCTCCTCCCCCACCCCCACCCCCAGTATCCCCAGTCCAGCCCAGCAGCTATTCTGCCTGCTGGATCCTCCCTGGGTCCTTGTCCTCCCCTGACTCCAGGGAAACTGTCCAGAGTCCCTCAGGGAGAAGCTGCAGAGATAGGGACCCTGAGGTCTGTCCAACTCCCAACCTCAGCTCTTGCACCTGCTCCGCGTGGCTGCCACCAAGAATGAACCAACCTATGAACAAAGCAGCCCCCTTTGTATTTCTGAACTGCTCAGGACTTGCCCAATAGCAGAAATAGCAAAAATGCAAACCTTCTAAAGTCAATAACAGGTTAAAAAGCCAAAGCAAGAATAAGTAGTGACAATTCCTACAGCCTGTCCTGTGGGAAAGCCTCTGGCCAGGAGTAGGGTCCTGTGCCCGTATATAAACCAGTCATGGTGCCAGGACGGCAGACCATGATGTGCTGGGCCTGGAGGGCACCTTCTTCCTTGTACTTAGTGGTGGGTGCTGGGTTTGCCACCACTAGGGAAGGGGGAAATACTGTGGGACCTCAAAATCAAGTTACTACAAAGCCTGTTTTACAAACATCTCAGAGAGGTTAAGCAACCCATCAAGTCACCCAGCTCCCCCTTCCATTGCTCTGACCCTGTGCTCTGAATCCCCACCTGCAGGGGCGGAGCAGGTTTTGTAGTAGGGACAGGGCACACTGTTGGCCCCTGTGAGAGAAAGTCCAGACTTCCCTCTTTCTGGCATTAAGGTCCTGCGAGGCGACCCCACTTCCCGTTTCCCTCTCTGACCACATCCCTCCTACATGCGCTGCCAACCTACCTGCTCTGTTGGACTGGAATTACCTGGCGGGGGCGGGGCCTCAGTCCTCTCTAAACCTCCTCTCTCTTCCCTCACCATTCCCAGGGCAGAGCCTGGCTCAGGGCAAGTGCTTCTGAAAGGTTCTGTGTGAATAAGCTAGAAAGGACCTATAGAAGTCCCTGGGCTCAAAGCCTCCAGACACAGCTCACTGCCGCCGAGGCCCCCTGCTGTTGCTGGTTTTAATTCCACTCCCTCCCAAGTCAAGTCTCCAAGTCAAGACCCCCTGGCAAGTCAATTCCACTTCCTCCCAAGGCGCAGGTCCTCGCCTCACCCTCATCTCATCCCTGGGGTGAGCCTTCTCCCTGGGACCTGGAGTGATCCAATCCCTAGAGATCAAGAGCTTTCTCAGCCCAAGTCTCAAGGATCAAGAGGATACCGGAACACACACACATACACAGCTCCCTTTCTTCTGGGAGGGAGGAAACCCCCATTCCGGTCTTCTCTTTGGGGAAGGAGGCCAGGGAACCTGGCGATGGGAAGGGGAAGGGGAGGAAGAGATCTCCTTCCTCTGCCTGCCCTTGTGACCGTCTCCCAGGCCTGCAGATCCCGGCCTGGGACCCCCACCCCTGCTCACCCCCGCCCGGCCTGCGGGGAGGAGGGGCGCCAGCTAAGGAAGGGTCCCCAGCCCGCCAGGACCCGGCGCACCCGGCCCGCCACAGCAGGTCTCCCCAAGCACACACATGCTGGACGCGTTCCCGCCCGCGGCCGCTGTCACACGCGGTGGATCAGCAAGGGCTCACACACACCCCGGACCCCGCGCACACCCGCTGCCACGCGGAGCCGGACACACACGGCGGGAAGGCCTTGCGGGGGCCACGGTGCACCGGGAGGGTCGACGATCAGATGCCCGCGCGTCCGTCTGGGCCTGGGCCTCGTTCGGCGGGGGCGCGACCCCAAGCGCCCCAAACACCCGCGAGGGTCCCGGCTGCCCGACTGCGGCGGGGCGGGACGCTCGGGCTCGGGAGCGGCCGAGACTTCCGCCGCGGCCCCGCGCCGCCCCTCTCTGCCGGGTAGCTGCAGCCGCCAGGGAGGCCCAACCGCGGCCTCGTGGCGCCCCCTGCGGTCGGCACTGCGCGGGCTCGAGCCCGGAGCCCCCGGGCGCCGAGGTGGGTGGTGGCTCCTCCTCTCCCCGGGTCCACTGCGGTCGCAGACACTCTCCCGGAGCGGCCGCGTGGAAGGGGCGGGAGCTGCCGCCGCGCCGGGGCCCGGGAGCCGGGCCAGAGCCCCGCGGCCGCCGCCTGCCCGGCCCACCCTGCTCGCGCCCCAGCCCGGCCACGCGCGGGGACTGCTTCCTCGTTTGACAGAGCAGGAGACTGAGGCGGGGCGCACAGCCAGGACGCGGGGAAACCTGGCCGGGACCTTGACTCTGGGGCATGTGAATGGGGGTCTCCGAACCCTGCCGGCCACCTCCTGGGTCGTATTGGTCTCCTCCCCGCACCGCCTGCCTCTGCCCGCCCCAGCCCTCCTCTGAACCCACCCACCCACACGCTGCCCATCTGTCCAGGAACTGCCCACACCCACTTAACACTGTCCTGGAGTCTTAAAAACAAACCAAAAAAATCACATGCGTGTGCGTGCCAAGTCGCTTCAGTCGTGTTCGATTCTTTGTGACCCCATGGACTATATAGCCCGCCAGGCTCCTCTGTCCATGTGATTCTCCAGGCAAGAATGCTGGAGTGGATTGCCATGCTCTCCTCCAGGGGGTCTTCCCCACCCAGGTATCAAACCTGCATCCCATCTCTCCTGCATTGGCAGGTGGGTACTTTACTACTAGCGTTCTGAAGTCTTTAAAAAAAATCACAATAGGAACAAAATCCTTAGGAGCCACAGCCTCAGGGTCCACCTTGGGGCCAGGAAACCAAAACCCATGAGAGCCCCTTAGCACTGGCCTGGTTTCTGTGAGTCAGTCTGGTTGTCTAACTGCACAGAGATCCTTTAGGATCCCCTCTGCCCCCTTCTGTGCTAGCAGGGAGGTGGCACCCAGTTTTTTGCACCCTCGACACATGCTCTGGGCCAGGACCTGTGCGCCTGTCCTGCGATCCTCACAGCAAATCAACCCTGTGGGGTGGTTATTATTATTACTGCATCCTACAGATGAGACCGAGGCTCATGAGGTTGGGGGGCTTGCCTGAGCTCACACATAGCAGGTGAGTGGCAGAGCTGAGATTGCAGCCCTAACTCGAGACTCACTTCAGAGCTCTACCAGCCCCGTCTACGGTTACCATGTGGAACCCATGCCAGGCATCAGCACTGGCCTTTTGATGTGACCCACCCTGACATGGAGAGTGGCCACCCCCCACACCCATCACAAGAGTCACAATCACATTGGTAAGGCTCCAGCCCAAGCCCGGCCCTCAGAGTCCCCAAGAGTCAGATGCCTCCAGACTGATCCTCCCATTTTACAGATGGACACAGAGTCCACAGAGACACATGGTCTTTCTCAGGATCACACAGAGCAGCTGTGGTCTAGGCTGCTCAATACCCCAGACAAGAAAAGAGTTCAGGTCCCAGGATCTGACCCATCTGTGCTTCAGGGCTGCAGTCCTCATTGTGGGGTCAATGGTTTAGCTGGAGTTCTGTCTGGAAGGAGGGGTGAAGAGCAGGAGGCAGACACTAACACAAAACAAGGACAAACCCAGAGATCAGAGCTGAGATGAGGGCTTGGCTGAGGTTTGGGGAAGCTCAAAGGAGAGACTGGACATGGGAGGGGTCAGTCAGGAAAGGATTCCCAAAAAAGTGACGTCAAGTGGGCTTTAAAAGGATGCATAAGAGTTTGCCAATGGAAAAATGCAGGCAGGTATATTTCAGGGCAAGACGTGGAGCTCAGAGGCCTGCAGGAGCTTGGCTAGTTCCCATCTGTACCTTGGTAGTTAAGAGTATGGGACTGGGTACTAGATAGTCCTGGGTTGGAGTCCCAGCCCTGCTGTGTGACTTCTGGCAGGTGACTTAACCTTTCTGAGAGCCTCCATTTCCTAGGCTACAAAATGAGAGTAGGGATGATCTTCTCAGTCACGAGGCAGTTGCCAGTTGATCAAGGGGCAGGGCACACAGGAAGACAGGTGACTAAAGACTACTAGGGAGCAGTTGGGAATTGGAGAAAAGAAAGACATGGCTGAGGAGGTCATCTGTCTTCCGAGGACAGACAGAGGACAGACAGACTGTGAGGGACCTTGAATGTTAAGCTAAGGACTTGGCTCTGATCTGAAGGCAGTGGGGAGACATGGAAAGGCTTCAAGTCAAGGAGGTACAACTGTGATTTGCGTTTTAGAGGATGCCCACCCGCAGGTGCTAGGGTGTCCTTGGAAAAGGACAGACATGAGGCTCCTGATCGCTAAGCCCAGCCGTGTCCCGGCACCTGGGATCCCTCCAGCCCACCGCCTTCTCCCTCCCTCAGCTCTACGAGGCTGAGAAGTTGCCCTGCCCTGATTCCAGGGCTGGTCCAGGGCCAAGGAGGCAGGCGGCCTGCAGCCCCTACCCCTTACTCCCCGTGGTCCCAGACACCCCTGCCCAGGAACCCACAGCCTCTGTGACTGGGTCTCTACTTTCCTTGAGCTGCCCTCCCCACCCCCCAACAATACACACACAGAGAAACACACTCCACAGTCCCCATTACAGAGAAAGGACAGGCAGCACCGCCATAATTTCTATTTCCTTCTAAATAGATGCTCCCGGACCTGCTCCCACAAAACCAATTAAAGCACCTGCCGAGGACGGGGCTTTGTCAGCAAATTATTTCCAGGCTTCGAGACTCGGGAATAAATCTCAGAAGGATGAAGTGAATGGAATGAGTAGGGGAGCTAGAGATAGGGGGGCTGAGCAGGCAGGGGGAGGAGGGTCACTTTATGTCCAAGCACCTGTAGGTGGAGTCTTCATTTCTGCCCCCAGACCCTCAGCCCAGGTCCCAGCACTGGTTCTTTATAGTCCCACCAGAGAAGCGGCCTCTAAGGGGTCAGACATCCTGGCTCCAAGTCAGGAATTCCCCTGGAAAACTGCCTGGAAACAACTTCCAGAAAACCACAGGGTGGGTGGCACAGCTATCTTTATGTCCTTGTCCCATCACCGCATCCCTTGGCTGTTTCCCCACCATAAGGGAAATGTCACCATAGCCTCGGTGGGGAAACAGGAAGTCTGGGCTCCTAACTCACTGTGGGGACCTCAGACAGGCCCTTCTCTGCTCTGAGCCTTAGTGTTTCTATCTGCAAAGTAGGCGTGGATGGAAGTTCAGCCAGCCCTCCAGCTTCAACTCTTCAGGTGCCCATGAAACTCCAGAAGGCCTCCTGGAACAGGCCCAGCTGGTCTTCTGGGATGCCCGTGGACTCTCTCTTTGGGCAGGCAAAGGCCAGGGAGAAGGTAGAGTTCCACCCAACGCAGCCATCATGGTCCCCATCAGCTCTCAGACTGGCAGCGGGGAAGAAGGGGCTGAGCGAGCCCCAGGTGGGCCCACATCCAGCGCTTAGCAGTACACCTTGCCCATGGTGAGGGCTCAATAAACGTGGCCATTCTTACTGTTACTAATACCTTGCCCATGGTGAGGGCTCAATAAACGTGGCCATTCTTACTGTTACTATAGCAACACTCGCCTGACCAGGTCCTTCTGCACCAGGTCACATCCCCATCACTCCACCAACACCCACCTTGGTCCAGTCAACAGTAAGGACTTGCATGACTGAGCTCTCGAGGTGGGTATCAGCAGCACTACTGTCTCACACCTGAAGAGACAAAGCCTCTGAGAGGTTAAGCCATGTGCTCAGAGTCACAGAGCTTGCCCAGCAGGACAGGATTTGCACCCAGTTCCCTCTGATGCCAAAATGGAGACTCAAGCTAATTCCCCAGATGACTCTGAGTTGGGAATCTGAGTTGAATGCACAAAAGGGATCAGACCTGAGAGGAGGAGATGCCAGGTGCCAGAGCTACAAGCTCACCAGGGGATAGGAGCCTCCCAACCATCCCAGAATAGAGGCCACTCATAAGGGCTGCAAATTAATTAATTAATTCAGAAAAGAATGCCCTGGTGGTCCTGTGGTCAGGACTCCATGCTTCCACTGCAGGGCGCCCAGGTTCCATCCCTGGTTGCAGAATTTAAAAAATAATAATAATTAAGGGCTGCAGACTACTTGTCTCCACAGCTCCACAGAAGTTAGGGTGCCCACCCCTCACCCCAGTGCCTGGCCTGGGGCACCTGAGAAGCCCTGGAATCTGGCCTTATACTTCCATAGGCCACAAGGGGCCCACTCCGGCCACAGATTGCTGGAAATAATAACAAAACAGTAACAAAACAATAATTGTAGGTGGTACCTGTCCTCTGGACCTTTGAATTAGTTGAAGGAACCCTGACAATACCCCTGAGATAGGGACCAAGATTATGGGTAAGAAAACTGAGGCCAGAGAGGAGAAGTCACATGTCTGGGGTCACTCTGCTAACAGCAGGGGCACAGTTTTCCTGGCCCCTATCATCAATGCCCATGGGCTCCCAGAAGCATTTTTCCTCTAATAGTTATACATTTCACTTCATATGTGTCAGGAAAAAAATAGAACCAGTCCTTCAAGCCCAAATAGTTCATGGATATGACAAATGGACATAGTTTTTGAAACAAGAAAAATCCTAAGTCAATGAGAACAAGTGGTACTTGTCCTGGACAAAGGTGGATCAGTAACTGAAACACAGCATCCACATCCCTCCTCTGCATCCACACAGCTGGCTGAGGCCCCAGAGGAGGAGACGATGCAGGCACAAGACCTGAATAGGCTTATGGGATGACTCCACTCCAGGCTACAGGCAGCACTATGACCACTGTGCAGTAACTCCTCCATTGTTGTCTGAGGTGTGTTTGTGCTGCCTCTTGGGGGATCTGACCTTTAAACTTGACTTCTCCCTCATAATGGAGGAGAGACCTGGGCTCAGAAAGGCTCATGCCCAGGGGCTCTGAGCTACTAAGTTGAGGCCTGAGATTCCAGGACCAGTCCCTGTGCTGTCCAGGGACTGAGAGGGCCTGGATTTGCCTGAGGGAGCTTTCCAGGCCTGCAGGGCCAATCCAGACCCTCTGTATCAGCCCTGCACTTGCCCAGGATTTGTTTCTTGTTGCTTGTCTTTAATAACTTTTCTTTATAACTATACATGCATGCTAAGTCACATCAGTAGTGTCCGACTCTTTGAGACCCTACAGACTGCAGCCCACCAGGCTCCTCTGTCCATGGGGTTTTCTAGGCAAGAATGCTGGAATGGATTACCATTTCCTCCTGCAGGGGATCTTTCCAACCTAGGGATTGGGCCCACATCTCTTGTGTCTCCTGCACTAACAGGCAAGTTCTTTACCACTAGCGACACCTGGGAAGCCCTCATTCTAACTAAGAAAGTCAAAGTGAAAGTCACTCAGT